CAGCATGAAGAATCTAGAAGCAATTTACGCTGGCCAATTTAAAGGCTTCATAGAAAATTTAGGTGCTTTGAACCAAGGTCTGTAAATAATTTTCGGTGCTGACAACAGGTTTATCATTTTGACGGCCAAGAAACTTAACATCAGAGCTGACCAAATATTAACTTCGCTACATAGCATAGGAATAAGTAAATAATAGAGGTTATGGATTTTCTAAAAGACTATGAGTCATACATGCGCAAAGTACAAATTTACACTTCGGCAGTACAAATTTTATTAATTTTGGATGAGTCTACGCGCAGATATTTTCAAGGTCATAGCCACTTAAAAAATCCACAAGCTCTAAGAAGTTTCAGCGTTTCTTTTCTCACTCGGTAAGGCGAAATACGTGCGCCGTACGCGCACGGGAAGGCGACTGCCACAGTATTCATGAGTCATGGCCATGAAATGACACGTTAAGTTGCATTGTGCCGTCTGTCAGTTTCGTGGTTTCGATATGGCTTGCCTTTCGGATACACAACTAGTGTTCATTTCTTCGTCTCGAACGTCAACTTACCACTAGACTTATTCGATTCAAGGACACTGCCAGGCGGCGGTTTTAACGTAGGTATCCTAAGTTTAGCTCAGCGAAGACAGAAACTTCATGTAGATCAAAAGCGGGTTTGATTCTTATGTTCAATGTGCACAGGGACTGTGAAAGCATGGCCTATTAATCCTTTTGCCTTAAGACTTTTCAGCAAGAGAATAGTAATCTTAGGAGTAAATGACTTATGATGGCCAAGCATTAATAGCGACATTGCTTTTTGATGGTGGCTCTTTATATTATTGTGAAGTGCAATTAGAATGTCAAGACAGGCTAGTCTTACCCTACTGATGACTCGTCATTACGATAGTAATGCTGCTCAGTACGAGAGAAACTGCATGTTTGGACACTAGTTTGGCACACTTCCTCAAGTGGGCAAGGGTGTGAAGCTAACATTAGTGGGATTATGCAATAATGCATCAAGGGCTGTCTCCTTTCTAGTCAAAGGATATCTCTTGGAGTGCTGAGTCATACTGCTCAAAAAAATGTGGCTTTAAAGTGGGATCAATTATTGATCAGATCTTTAGACAGACGAACATTTTTTGATGTTGGAACTCGGAATTGAATGTAGATAACTTACATACCTGGCAGGGTTTTATACCTTGTAGAGCAGGTTCCAAGCTGCGATATATTGACTCATGACCTCATTTTGGAGATTCATCTTGTTGGATAGGTTAGGTTAAATCTCATCCTGGTATATATTAAAAACTAAAGCTGTTGAGCAAAGCTTTGTAGACAGCTGATGGTCTAAATTAGCTTACATGTCATTGGGTGGCAAGACTGACATTTGCTCCTTAACATATTAATTGGAGTGAGTCCAGTGGCAAAACGGTATGATTACACTTTATGATTTATGGAGTGTACACTTTTGTCTTATTCATGTACGAACTCTAATGGTATGGTCCTGAATATTAATGTAAGGTCATACTGAGCTGGATTTTATTGAAGATGGAGCATTGACATGAAGATACAATAATAATAATTTAGTATATAGTGTTGGCCCATATTATCATTGTAGGTAGCGACTTTAGTCTTATGCAAGCCCATATTATGATACCACATTTAGAGAAATTAAATTGGGCATTCCATTCCCTAAATCTAAATCCTATTGAGTGTATTCTATCTGGCAGTACTATTTAGAATGGAAGCCATGATCCAAGTTGGAGGAGAACCAATATTAAGAAATTGCTTTGTGCTTTTATTTAATGATTCAATTGTTATGTTAATATATAATTCTTCCATAATTATTGTCAAAATTCAGAAAAAACTGCAATTTTTTATTCAATAATCAATAACTTTAAAGCGAATCCAGATATCAATATTAAAGAAAAATCAATGTATGGGGAATGAACCAAGCTTACACAAGCCTAGTGATTAAAAATTTTTTGCTGTTTCTCTTATTATGTATACAAATCTGGTCTTATTCAGAAAGTTTAATAAGGTGAATAAATCTTTAATGATTTTTCCCCTACTGTCCAAAGAATTATCAAGTTTGGGTCATAAATAAAGTTAATTAAGACCAAAATTTGTTAACATGTTAATGACCATTTAATATGTAACCTGAGTGCACTGAAACTTAATTGCATATTTTTTTCCTGTCTAGTCATCATTCAAACTTTATCTGCTCATGTTTTTATTAACTCTAAAATAATTTTTATTGCTTTACAGTAGTTCCCAGATTTGATTCTATTGTTTTAGGTTACATAAATTTTAGTTTGATATATTATAACTTTATTTTATTTATTATTAAGTAATTATGTTACAATACTTTGATTTTTAGTTCTCTTGTATTGTTACAAGTTATGAACTATAACAATTTTCTTTTTTTTCCACATTTATTTACTGCAGCTCATTTTTTTCATTTTTGGAACATCGCCTCTCCAAGCTCTATCCACAATAATGGCTAATTCCATAAACTTTTAATTTATTAGCAACATCTTTGTTTTCAAAATTTCTTTTAAATAAACTAAAGTTTGCAAGAACCTTTATTCAAGGGGTTCAATCTAAACATATGCATTCTGAAATGATATATTTTCAAATGTTTTGAGTTGTTTATGTGGTTTTTATAATACCTGTGAAATTGTTTATATTAGATATAATACACACAGACAACAATTTATTTTAACCCAGGATTATTGTCAAAGTAGTTTGATTTTTAATTTTGTAACTCTTAAAAGGATATAAAAAATCTGCTTTCAATGCTACAATAAACTAGTTACAAAGTTATTTCTTAAATCAATAGTAGACTAAACAAATCAATTTATATACAATGCATAAATTAAACACTAACCGATAACACCTAAAGGCGAAAATGTGTCACAAGATCATTCTCTAATTAATAAACAAAATAGTAAAAGCGGACTCCATGCAGGTAAATTGGAGGTGGTCTTTTTTTCTCAGAAAACTGGAAAGTATTCCTTCGCCATTTTGTTTAATCTACACCTGACTACAAATATTTCTTTATTTATTTAAAATTGATAGAAGTCCTTGTGACGACAACTACCACAACAATTATATCAATATCAAATGTTGTTGTCCTACATCAAAAAGTTGATAAGAAAATTTGTTTACTATTGGCTATAAAATGTCACAGGTAATTCGAGAACTTACCTGCATAATCGAAAGGGTCCGACGCAAAAGAAATTCCTAATAAGAAAATAACACTGAACACTCTTAGTACTAACATGTTTGTAGAGTTTTTCATAAAAAAATATTCACCCAAAACCTTTTCAAGATATCGAGAACAATTTCATATCGCGGTTCGCGACCATGAAACTAGTCTTCATATACGGACGGCAAGTTTTTAGTCTGCCCAAGGATTGGTTCATGCCAGTGCCGCCAGAGCGAAACACAAAAATCGATTTAGAAAAGCTTTATTTGTGCAATTGCATTTTTCTGATTAGTTGTGCTAGATCAAAAATAAGGGCGTGCTCAACAAAATTAACAAATACAATAACAAATAGATAATAACTGCCAGAAGTAAAATATTGGAAATTTAAACTACATATATTCATAAATACAGGTTCAAAAATAAAAAGTTTATTCTCATTTTGCATTATTCACACTTCCTAAAAATGACAGCTACAGTGTTGCCGATGATGAATATTTTTCATGATAATTTGATTTATAATATAACTACAAACATTGCTGCTAACAAACATTAAAAAATGTATAAATTATTGTATAACTTACATCTTTGTTATCAAAATTAATATCTTTTAAATAAAAAGTGTATCTTGTTTCTTTTAAAAGAAACATTAAATATCATTGAAATGAAAAATTCTAAAGAAATGAATATGAGGAAGTTGTAAAGGATGGGATGCGGATCGTATTATTTATTAATTATATGTATTATGATTTACAAACTATATCTCGTAGTCGTTACTCGTCTTAAAATTAATTTTTTGTAATAAAATTAACAATATCGTTTTGGGGAAAAACTGTGAACTTGGCAATCCTACTGCTGTCATTAGTGTCAATGATACTAAAATTCGAATATTTCTGTTTATGCCTTTACACAAAAATTTAGCAGCCATCTTATTTTTATTTTCTGACATATCAAATACGTCATTTTTAAGAATATCTGCAAAATTTGACCATATATTCAACTAAATTATTATTTAAGTACCCCATTGATCTAAGTTTAGTCATAGAATAAGAAATAAATAATTTCTTATTCTGTTGTTCAATCTTCTTGATTATTATTTTTTTTCCGTAGTAATAAACTGTGGAATACATCGGGTGTTAAAAAACATTCCAAATATACACATTTTGTTAAATTGATAAAAACAGTTATTAAATTGATTCATCTATACCGTTTAATTTGATATTGTATATATTTCGAAATGTCCTATTCCGATCTTTTTTGGTGTAGTTTATTTTTACTATTTAATTTAATATTTAAACATTTTTTTAGGTATAATTTATAATATTGTGGTTTTGAATATAAAACGAAGTTTTAAAAAGGTATAAAGATATTATTATTTTAAAGTTTGCACCCTTTTTAACTGTAGCTAACATGATACTATGACTATAAGATATTGCGCATGTTTTTGTGACGTCATTGGAGACTTGCACGTTCGAAATGTCAGTTTTTGTATATATCAATAAATAATCTTTAATAAATAGTTTGGAGATATCCTTATGTGTACGATTATTGTAATTATTAAACCTCTTAACTTATTTTCGTCTAGTAATTTCATCACAGAATGCATAAAAATATCATTTAACTTTAACAAGAATTCAAATTCTAGTCTCCAATGACGGCATGCGCGAACCCGACCGATTTTGAGCTACGGGAAGATCCTATCTTGTTATTCATAGTATCATGGTAGCTAAATCAATACAGATATATTTTTGTTCTTTATGTTGGCAACACTACTAAATAATATGACTTTGTCAAAATGTTCGAGTCAAATTTCTCTTTTTTCATCTTGCAGTCGGAAGGTTAACTTCGTCTTACGAAAAAATGCCAGTAAGTTTTAAATTTATTTTTATATCTAGAATTATATCAATTTATATAAGCCATCGCATTTTATAAATCACATGTAATATTTCTAAATAAATATATTTATATAAATACTAATTTAGTTTTGTGCAACTGTTATGATATCACATGTTATTGTTGGATGTTCGTAATTTTTATTCTGCTATAGATTTCCTGCTGTGTTTCATCAGAGTTTTTTAGTCTGGTGGAAACACAACTAATTTTGTTGTGGATTCCAGACAAAAACAGCCGTTCCAGTTACCAAGCCACAGGGAAAGAAACCCCAAATTAGAGGAAAAGGCCTAAAGAAAAAGAAGGTTGCTTTGAAATTTGTGATCGATTGTACTCATCCTAGTGAAGACAATCTTCTAGATGTCGCAAACTTTGTAAGTATTTATTAATTATCAATTAGACATAAATTTCACAGTCCCAGCTCCACGTGGAACCACTTTATGGACATTGTGGCGTTTAGCACTGTGAATATTAAATGCTTTGCTCGCTATGTTGGATTCAGTTTTCAATAACTAGTACAACACAAGGTACAGCTACAGTTTTTTAAAATCTAATTTTATTTCAACATAATTTGTTGTGGTTACTAAATTGAAAAAAAAAATTCTTTTAGGAAAATTATTTGAAAGAAAGGATTAAGATCAATGGAAAAACAGGAAACTTTGCTGCCGGAAAAAGTGGTCAACATTCTGTTACTGTAAGCAGAGACAAAAATGTTAAAATTGCTCTTTCCTCTGAAATACCATTTTCAAAAAGGTAAGTTCTAAAATAATTTAGGTTAACTTAATTTTTCTACAGTGAACATAACCTATAGATGTTAAATGTAAGGTTAATATAAGTCAGTGTTGTCATATACTCAATTATTTCAGACTCTCACATAAAATTATGGGAAGTTTATATTATATGAAATGAAAATTTAAAATTGAAAAATACATATATAATTAAGCAAAAACGTGAAAAATACATATATAATTAAAAGCATTAAAATTATACCTATAAATGTTATAAAATAAAATTATATCTTACATTTAAAATACTGATATAATAAAAACCATTAAAATTATGCATTTGATTAAGCCACAATTATTGGTCTCTATTGAGATGAAAATTACATTCTTAATTAACTAATATTTTGTTTATTGTACAAATTATGTAAAAATGTGTATATATACATTTTGTACAAAAAAAACATTTTTTGAGAACAATTTCCGGGGGCATTTCTCAATTGCGGGCACTCTAACCTAACCAAATATATTTTCCTCAAGGCACTGCGTCACAGTGTTGCCGTATTTATTTTAGTAAAATATGTATATGAATGCTACAAATATAAATTTACTTTTACGAAATAATAATTTGTGTTATGAGAAGCTACAAATTTTAAATAAGCATAAAACTTGCCGTATTTTTTTTGTAAAATGTATATGAAGGTTTAAAATATAAGTTACTTTTACGAAATTATAATTTGTATTATGAGAAGCTACAAGATTTAAATAAGTATAAAACAAATATTTTCTGTTACTTTAAATGCAATATTGTAAATTAGCACTTTCCAAATCTTATCTATTAGGACCTTATTATTAGGTACGAATTTTAGAAGTTTATTATACTATTAATACTATTAATTATTAACTATTAATACTATTAATATATAATATATTAACTATTAATACTATATTATACTATTAATTTTTTATATCCTTTTAATCAATTTTATTGTATATGCATTTGTTTATTATCTTTAATTTAACTAAAATCTATGAATTTTTATATAATTTCAATGCATTTCTATTATATACGGTAATTTAATTATTACTATAAATTTTTTTGTATAATATGTGAGACATTTGTATAATATTATGTGAGAGTATGAAAAAACTGGAGACTTGGCAACTCTGACACCATTTAAGCCATCTTTAAAAGATGACAATATAAGGAGCTCCCTAACTTTCGCGTGATTGGTTGGTGGGTGGGTCCCAATTTAAAAATTGGCGGGTTTCATGTTTATTAAAATGACAATTGAGGTATTGTCATTGTGGCACAGTCTATGTGGGTAAACAATTTATTAGCAATATATTGTGGTATTGGTACAAAGCGGATGATATTCACATTTTAGGATTAAGCTGAATAGTAAAGTTTTATTAGAAATTAAAAGCTAGTGATGCTTTTTTTTTTATTAGATATATAGATATTATTGTTTTAATTTTTTTGTTTAGGTAATTTTTTACTAAGATTTAGAGGTTCTCTTATTATTTTTATTTCTAGAACATTCATTACCATTATTATTCTCATTAGCTTTCTCTATGTGGAATCGGCTTCTCTAAGTAATTTCTTCTAAACTTTTCTGTTCTCTTCCAGGGACTAAGTACCTCGCCGCTTTTTGTATGAGTATATGGATTTTCAGAAACATGTAATTTCTGTTCATCCCCTTTTTTACTGCCCTACATTTAGTACCATACATCATAGCTGGTCTAAAGGCAGTCCTATACAATTCACCTTTTAGTTTTCTTGGTACCTTTTTTATCACACATCAGTCAATTTGCCTCTTTCCTTTACCTTTAATTAAACCTAATCCAGCAGAAATGAGAATAAATATGGGATTTTCACTCATTTTCACACAAAATTTTCCAGTTTCACCTGTAATCGTTCTAACACTATTATAGTTGTTACACACACAGTAATAGGTTTCTGATATGTTCATCATGTGCTAAAGTAAAGTCTTAGGTAATTAAATATGGTGTTCTAACGAACAGATTTTTAAAACAATTTAACAGATTTTTAAAAATAAATGAGAAAAATTTAAATTGAAATTTTCTGTGTGCTTGCTTATTGGCAAATTGGTATTAAAACCGCCTAATCATAGATGTTTAAGCGCCAAATGTGGCCAAACAACCGCCAAATTGCCAAATTGTTTACCCACATAGACTGTGCCGACAACCTCAATTGTCATTTTAATAAACATGAAACCCGCCAATTTTTAAATTGGGACCCACCCACCAACCAATCACGTGAAAGTTAGGGAGCTCCTTATATTGTCATCTAACGTTAAATGTCATATAAATGCTTGGTTAGGTTAGAGTGCCCGCAATTGCGAAATGCCCATTTCCGGAATGGAAATCAAAATTATTAATAAAAAATGTGATTCTTATCACAATTACAACCAATACTTTAGGTGTAATCCCATAAAAACATAATATTTATCTCTAACTATTCACTGATAGCTTGGATTAAAGAGGTTGTAAATTGAAATTTATGTAAAATATTCCCCTACACATTTCTCTGGGAAAAATATCTATGTTAAAAAAATATAACATCTAAACGAAAAAAAAAAACAGTTGAGACCACAACTTCTTAGCAGGTAGTTTCAATGTCGTTATATGAACTTGACCCAAAAAGATCGATATTTATGTATCTGATATTATTTTAAGTATTACTATCAGCAACATCTGTAATTTTTACTGATCGATGTTAAAACAGGGGTTTGATGTAAAAAATTGTAAAATGTAAAAAATATATAAAAAAAAATCAGAATATTGAAAAACCGACAACGGTGCTAAGCCTACAGAAATAAGATTTTCTTGGTGATGCTAAATTACTGCAATATGAAAAGTTTAAAATGATAGTGGGATAATATAAAATTATAATTTGTGGTATAAGCTACAAGATTTGAATAAATTAAAAAAGCATTCATAAATATTTTTATTTTACTTATTTGTGGCAATTCAGCTTTGATAAATTAGTGTACTCTTTAGTTTATCTTCATGTTTAACTTTAATTTAATTAAAAACAATGATTTTTTATATTATTTCAATGCTTTCATAAATTCATCTGAGCTGTGAGAGTATGAAATAACTGAGAATATGGCAACTCTGATATTATTTAAGGTTACATTCAATGTCAAATATATTTGGTTGTGTTCAGTGCATTAAACTAATCATTGCCCATTTTTATTGTTTTTCCCAGTTGTATAATATTCTGTTACTTCCAAAAAAATTCTCCATAAATATTTTATGAACAATATGGGAACCGTAAAGGTGAATTTAAATCAAAGTGAATACAAATGAGTAATTCTCAAGTTTTGACATGTTGATAAATCAACAAATCATCAAAGGAAATCCCTGTTCAGTGTGAACAGTGGATAGAATGTAACTAAACAAATTCTATGAGAAGTTTTTTTATTTACAAATTAGTTTGTGAGGGCTGTTTGTTGTGTAGTGCTGAGAACTTTTATATCATAAATAATTTTGCATTATGGAATGGACAGATCAAAAGACCCTTCCATTATGAATTAATTGAATTATATCTAAATGAAGGATGTCTATTGTAGGAAGTTGAAATTATATAAAATAAACAAAAAAAAACATTTCCTGAAACAAAATTTCTACTGATGATGTCTCAAGTAAAAAACGATTAATTTTGCTTCTGGCATTATTTAGATGAGAAAGATGACTAGGAAAAAAGTTCTAGTGGGACTGATACAACTTTAATCCTATGTGGTTTGCTACATGGCTCGATCTAAATTGTCAGTGGTTAACAAGGTATCACCTTATAAGTCTTGAGTAATAAGTAATCCAACAGCACTCATGATTACATCTTCATCTGTATCCTACATGGATCACCAACAAATGTGAATGTTCACACTTACGCGAAGACCTATGAATTCATTTTGTTTATTTTGATTCAAATGCACCTATATAGTGCCTAGGAAATTTGTTTCAAACTGCAGTTCCAGCTCCAATACAATGTAATATAAGACTGAATTGTAGTGGCGTATTTATTGCAGATATTATATGCATTGCTCGCTATGTTTACTATTAGCATTTGATTGATTAGTGAACACACTGTAATGCTACAACTCTATTTGAATTTACATTTTTTATTCCAATTTTGGTTCAAAAAATCAATATTTCATTTTTTTTAGGTACCTTAAATACCTTACTAAAAAGTATTTAAAGAAGAACAATCTTCGTGATTGGCTTAGAGTAGTTGCTTCTGGAAAGGACTCTTATGAACTCAGATACTTCCAGATTGACAGTCAAGAAGATGATGATGAAGAAGATAATGAATAATTTATTCAGATATTTTTTTTATTAAATAGATTATAAAAACAACTGTTTCATTTATCACCTTTGTCTTAAAGAACCCAATGTATGGCATATCAAAGGTAAACAACCAATAGAAGAATAAGTAGAATTTGATGTTTTGATTCACTGCATCATTAGCAGAATCTAGAAGTATGCAGCAACTCTTATAGATCTTGTCTAATTCCTATCAGTTGCTATCAAAAGGGTTAATATTAATGGTTTTTACCCTTCAAACATGTACATAGAATTCATTCTGAAAATATTCTGTGGTAGGGTTTTTATTTTACATTTTATTTTAAATGTTTATATACAGCAAATGATGCACCATATACCTAATTCTGTTTATCTTTCTGCTCTGACCTATATCATTACAATATGTAATGATTGTGCAGATTGACTTCCATATAAATTTGTAATGGCGAACATGTGTATAGAAGTGTAACTTCTACCATCAGTCTCCTTGGAATGTCACATCGGTTTTTGTGAGAAGGGTGCATATCTGGTGTTACAGAACATTCATGTATAAATCAATAACCCTAAGATCTGGTTGGTATCTCACATTGCTGCCAATAATTTCATGACCTCAAGGTGGCTGTTTTTTCATGTTGCTCATTGCCTTTTGTTCTAATCTAACGGCATTGTACCGGCGACAGTCTAGAAACCGGGAGTGGTAATTTCATTATACATTAAATTTCAATATTAATCACTTAATACTGCTACCTAAAGTTAATCTATACTATAACTGCTCAGCGCATTTTCATGGAAATCATCCGCTGTGCTGACTAGTATTTTTTAAAAATATTTATGAATAAATAAAGTACATATTAAATAAATGGTATTTTACATAAATCTGTAATATTTTATTCGAAAAGAAGAAAATACTGATCCGAGTCGTGAGCATTATCCTTATATTTTCTTTATTTGTGCTAAGCAACTCTGATGTGAGTCGTTGATATAAATATTCAAAAAAAAAAAGTTAATTTACAATAATTTTTTATTAAATCAACAAATCGAGAAAGAAGGAAAAAAACAAATTTCCATTTCCTAGCAACTTGTTTATAAACACTTAAGATGAAAACTTTGAAAGATGAAATGGTGTTTTGTCGTGATGATCATATTGCAATGACTTTTATACACTAAAATTAAATAAATGAAAAAAGTGGAAAAATACTAAAAAATTCCCAAAATTTAAATTTATCTCGAAAACAAAATACGATCTGGAACAAGAGTACAGAAAATTTTGTACATATTGTTTGGAGTTTCAACAAGTGAAATGAAAATCCTAATATTTAACAGCATTGTGACCAGGTACAATATTTGACTGTTACGCAAATTAGAAAGTCAATATCGGCAAAACCAATTTATTCAAAGTATAGGTACCTTCCTATTATAGTCTTTTATTGAAGGATGTTAATTTATTACCCATAATAGGTGAAAGTTTTCAAGATATTTATATTTTCAAAGTAGAAATTGTTATGGGATATCAGGTAACAATTAAAAGGTCCTTAAAAAATAAATTTTTTATTTAAGCTAATATACTGAAAGCAATATATCTGTTATTTAAATGGTATTTGCGAAAACAATCTCATATGCGTAAACCAGGTTTTTCGTCACAATTAGCACACTCGTAAATTGTGTTTTATCTAATTTTATTGATAGAAGATATTCCACATCGTTTCCTTTTTGGATTTAGTATCAATTATTTTAGGTAAATTTTCGTGTGCAAAATTGCGTTCTTTACTTTTATTTGTTTTATAGAGTAATTGGCGAATGACTTTTAGACGTAAATCTGAGATGGAATTTTGTTCCAGAATATTTATTATATAGAAAAAAGGCGTCAAGCAACATTAACTGGAAAAAGTGGAGCCCAAGTTTTTTATACCACCTTAACTTTATTCCGGAACATGGGTAGTACGACAGCATTTGATCTTGTTTATATATACCTGTCATGTACTGGTTATATTTCAATATTGGTAATAGTCTGGCAATATTCCATCCTCCCCTGGTTGTATGTTCAGTCAAAGTATTTGTAAATTCAGAAGATATATACAACTACATCTCTTTTGTCATGCCATTTACCAATCATTACAATATTGTACTTTGGTTTCTCCTTTGGATAGTTTAGTATTGGTTGCTTTTGAGGGGTTTCTAATTCGACCTCTAATGTCCAGTCCAAAATGTTTTTTGGAAACACATTTGGTGGTTTCCACCCTTCCTGTTGACCAAATCTATCGGTTGATCGCGCGTCTGCAGCTGTCCCGGTCTTCCTCCACCCCTAATCCACATGTAATACCGTCTACCACCCAAGCTACCCTTCAACAACACACATCCACTACCCATATTCAACCATCCTCACAAACTAATAACCATCTTCCACCTCAAAACCCTACCTATGCAACTGCCACACACACCCCTAGACCTCAACCCCCTCCTGTCATCCCAACCCCTGCTCCCGCTCAACAACCGAAATATTTCAATTATACCATCACGAATATCCCTCTGGGGAAATCTACACAAAGAGATTTCTTCAGAATCATTAATACTCGAGAAATCCTTCTAAACCAAATTACCACCGTCAAAGTACTCCCTACACAAACCGCTCACCTTACCACCCCTCATCCAATCAATCACGTCGACGTCCAACGGAAACTCCGTGATGCGTTGGGTGATCCTAGGATACAAATCACCCCTAAACACACTGCCTCACCAAAAAACACTTCCACCCGCACAAATAATCCTGGCTTTATGGTAGTCGTCAAAGGGGTAGATAGAATCTACTCTGACGCCGACCTCACCGTCCTTTTTAACCAACTTGGTATCCCTGTTGTCAGACTATGGCGGATAATATCCCGAGCTAACCTACCCACAACCTACGTCAAACTGATCACATCAAGTGAGTTAAAATACACTGAGATGCTGACCAAAGGCGTATACTTTGACGGGCTCCGCATGAGCGTCGAGCTTCCCTTCAACTCAAACCCTGTCCCTCCTGTTCCCAAGTATTGCGCCCGGTGCAGTTCAAACAGGCATACCATTGCGGAGTGCCCGCAAAAACAGTATAGGTGCCCTACTTGTGGTCAAGACCACAAATCATCATCCTGTCCCACCCCTCAAGCACCTAAATGCCCTAACTGTGGTGGCGAGCATGCGGCCTACTCGGTAAAATGCCCACTCAGAAGGGAAATCCCTAAAACACCTCAAGAGATCCAACCAATAACCACTGAAAAAAGAGACCCTCCTTATGAACTGTCCTCAGACATGAAGGCAGTCATGGAATTCACATCCTTAATCCTTATAAACCTCCTAAACCTACAACATCACAATATCCAAATCCTAGCCCTCTCCGATACCCTTTTAAAAACAGACCCTATTTTCCTCGGTTACTGCACTTTGCACCGTCCTCGTAGCCAAATATCTCGCGGTATTGGCTTCCTTATTCAATATGGTATCCCTTTCTCGCCTCACAATATACCTCCTCATATTATCCTCAACGATGAAGACTTCCTGGCAGTTGACATCCACCTCGACAATAACACTACACTCACCATAGTCTCTTATTACAAACATCCTCATCAAGACATTTCCGAAAGATTGTTTGATTATATCTCCAGCCTGAATAAGGCAATCATACTCGGAGACTTTAACGCCAGGCATATACAATTTGGCGACACGGCTACGAACCGCGCAGGCAATGACTTTTCGGATCTGCTCATTAACCTCCCTATCCACCGTATACGTAACCGTGAACCGACTTTTGTGGGTCGCCAGGGCATGTCGACGGTCGATCATATTTTGTGTACATATGATGTGATCGACCTTCTGGACGACGAATGCTTTCTGGGCGATTCTATTTCGTCGGATCACCTACCCCTGCTGGTTAAAGAACAGATATTTACCCCTCTCCCTCCTACACCCCCGAAAGTAATAAGAGACTATAAACACGCTAATTGGGACCGCTACAGAGCCTTCTTATCAGTTAATATTCCAGAGTTAGTAGGCAATTTAACACATACAAATGATATCGATCAAGGTATTACGGCTATCACCGAACTGATAAATCAAGGAATTGATTTGTCAGTCCCTAATCTGAGTCCCTGAGGGTTATCAACCCTCACAAGCCACCTCTACCTCAATATATCATTAATAATATCAAACAAAAGAGACGACTCCTACGTCAGTTTCAACGCACCCTCAATCCACTTGTCAAAACAGAACCGCCTGTCCGCAGTGATCAAACTTCACGTGAATAATCTGCAGGCCAGACAATGGTTTGCGGCCACCTCTAGTCTTGATTATCGCGACGGTGGTAAGTTCTGGCATAAATTCAAATGCCTAATTAAACAGAAAAGAAACAATCCTTCTCACCTTGTGGTGAATAATCAAATCTTAAACACACATCAACAAAAGGCAGACGCCTTTAAAATTCACTTACAAAACAGATTAATCTCACCAAATAATCCTAGATTTGACCTCGCTTTCCTTCATGCAACCGAAAGAGACTTAACCAGACAACTCGGCGCCCCATTCGATCCGCAGGCGCCGCATGATAATCCCATCATGGCGCCTGTTGATAAACAAACTTTCAAGAATTTTTGTCAAATTGGCAAATCAAACGCACCGGGTCCTGACAATATTGCCAGGAGCTGCGTAAAACAATTACCGCCGAGTGTCTATCTCTATTTAACGAATATTATCAATGTCACTCTTAAACTGCTACTTTCCATCACAGTGGAAAGTAGCCGATACAATTATGCTCTTGAAAAAGGCAAACCCCGCACCGATCCTAACTCTTACAGGCCGATTTCACTCACAAATGTTTTAGTTAAAGTCTTTGAGAGAATCCTAAAAGAAAGACTCATTGACTTTACCAACGAATACAACATCATTCCCTCATTTCAATTCGGCTTTAGAGAAGGATGCTCCACAAATACGGCATTGACTGAAAGCGTTACACATATTACTCAAAGTCTGAACGACGGCAAAGTCTCACTAGGTATTTTTCTCGATGTTCAAAAAGCC